ATGAACAAAGACATGGGCTGGGCTCCTTTTGGGAGTGAGGAAGAATTAACAAGTACACTGCATGAAAGGTCCTTTGATGACAAGAAATTGAGAAAGGTCCTTAGGATCTTGAACAGATCCCTTGTGCCTCACTTATGGGAGGCTGTGGATGCGGATGGCACAGGATGGCAGGCATGGATGGGTTGCAATCTGCATTACTGGAGAGAATGACTATGCCAGTAGAGAATACAGAGTCACTGGAATCTATGGCAGGGATTGGGGAATAACAAAAACAAAGATGAAGACAATATCTGCCCTCAAGGAGATTCTATTCTATTGGTAGAAACAACATGTCTTGTTCATTTCAGTCACGTCCAACTCTTCATGACCCCATTTGGGATTTTCTTGGCAAAGATCTTGAAGTAGTTTATCATTTCTTTCTCTAGCTCATTTTACAGATGAGGAAACTGAGGCAAACAGAGTGAAGTGCCTTGCCCAGAGTCACACAGCTAGTGTCTGAGGCTAGATTTAAACTCAAGTCTTCCTGACTCTAGGCCTGGCGCTCTAACCACCCTGCCACCTTAATGCCCTAACATATGTGTAATATAATTAAGTACAATGTAATTTCAGGCTGGGGTGTTTGGGGAGCACAAATCAGGTGCAGGATGTGGATTGTAAAGAATCATGTATAGGAGATGGCATATGAGTTGAACCTTAAAGGAAGCTGGGAGTTCCAAGGGGTAGACAGGTGCCTTGCTGGCAGGGGGCACAGCCCATATAGAGGCACAGAAACTGGGAATAGATTGCTGTGTATGAGGAACAGCCAGGAAACCAGTGTAGCTGGACTGCAGAGTGGGTGAGGGAGAATGCTGACCCTGCCAGCTCTCATATTTCTTGAATCACGTCTCTTCTTTCTCATTCATTCGTTCAACATACTGTCTGTCACCTATCGGCAACAGGGTTATTAGCTAATGGCTTGAATACATTGCTGAGGGTTGGGGGTGGGGACTCATTTTTGCTGCTTTTGATGGTGGAAAGAGCCCTCAGGATGTGGAGTGAAAAGATGTGGATTGGAATCCCAACACGACCTCTAACAAGCCTATGACCTCAAGCAAATGACTTTCCCTCTCTGGGCATCAGTTTGCTTGTTTGTAAAGCGGGGCGGAGCTGGACCAAATGATGTCTAGTGGCCCTTCCAGCTTTAAAGCCCGTGCTTTGGGCTTTCCGGGGATAATAATGCAGCAGAAATGCCAATCACAGGGATTTCTGGATCACTAAAAATGGAAGCTAGCGAGTTGGCATCTCAGGAAGAGGCTCGATCTGCAAGCAGCATGGCCCATATGGTTGAAATTCCCATCCTTTTGTGGCTTCTTGACTAAGCCATTGGCGACCCATTCGGCTGGGTCCAAGGCTGTTGTGGGGCACATCTGAGGTGCTCCAGATGTTTCGGGTTATCTAGCAAAGGGTGTGGAGGGTTTCAGTTTGATGTGTTCATAGGAGAAGGAGGAGATGGGGCTGGGGGATCTTCAGTGCTGCAGGTAGAGGCCAGGTGGGCATCTCAGATTCATCAGGGGACTGCGCCCCTTAGCTTAGCTGGGCAGATCTCAGAGCCCCCGATCACGGTATCTGACGGGAGGGAGCCCGGCAGGATCACAGGCCACAAGGCCCATACTGAGCGGTTTCTGAATATCCAGGCTGAAATTCAGTACACAGGTGTACTGTGTGCTGGAGTGATTGCATGTGTGTGTGTGTGTGTCTGTGTCTGTGTGTGTGTTATTCACTTCAACCAATTTTTATCAAATGCCTGCCACATGCCAGGCACCGATAGGGCTCAGCCAGGAGCATGACACCATTCATGCTTCTTATTCCTTTTAGTACTGACTGAAAGGGACCTTAGAGGTCAGCTAGTCCAACTCTCCCATTTTACAGATGAGGAAACTAAGCCCCAGAGAAGGCAAATGACTTGCCCAGGGTCATATGAGTAGGAAGTAGCAGAACCAGGATTTGAACCCTGGTCTTTGGGCTCCAGACCTTGAGCTCCTTCCACAGCACCACCCTGACTGAGACTTGCAATGATCTATCTGCACACATTGTCTCCCCAGAATCTTGCTGGTGGCCAAGACAGCTGATGGCCTTAGGGGCTGGCCTCCTGGGGCTTGGTGTATAATGAGAAGGCCTAGGGGATTCGGAACCTTTTCCTGTGTTTCCCAGACCCTTTTGTGGCCCCTTCTCAGGCTCATGTCTTCAAATGTATAATATAAAACACAGAGGAATGCAAAGGAAACCAATTATTTTGAAATACAGTGATCTACTTTTTTTTTTAAGTCTGTGGATTCTAGGTTAAGAAGCCCTGTGCAAAAACGAGCAGAATGATGAGCTCTATTTACCCTCAGAAAGAATAAATATAATAAACAGTTGGCATTTCTAGGTTTGCCAAGCCCCATCTCCTGGGATCCTTACAGAGCCTTGCTGGGAGAAAGGGGGCGGGATCAACAGGAGGGGGTGTGATCTGGGACACTCCGGAGCCTGGGCTTTGGCCTTTGTTTTGTTTGTGATGTTTTGGGCGGGAAGATAATTGAGAGATGAAGCAATATGGCCCGGATCACTCAGCCAGAAGGTGGAATGCGGATTAAGCCCTAGGTGTTCCTGAATACAAGGCAGGCTCTCTAGGAATTGTCATCATTATTCAAATTATGTTACACTAATTAGTATTCTAGCGCGTTATTCGGATTCTTTTCTAACTGACCAAACAGCTCATCGGTACGGGGGCTGCAAAGATGTGGAGGCCAAGTGGGTGCCCGCCGATTCATGGGGAACTGCAGATGGCCTCTGGAGGCCTGCTTGTCCTGGGCTGTGACAAAATAACAAAAACAACTGATGCAAGGATGGCAAGAATGTGAGCAAAAAGAACCGAGAACAAGCAGAAAACCCAGTGATGGCCCAGGGCGCAGATGGGCACCAACTCTCTGTTCTCTGGGGAGCGGGGTAGGAGGCTGATGCCAAGGGCAGAACGGCGGATCCCTATCGGATGTGCTGGCGCCCTCCTCCTCCGTCTGTCCATCCTGGGGGGCTTTTTGTCGCTCCGAGGAGGTGGGTTCAGTTCTCGGGGCTGTACGTCCAGAAAGTACTAAGTGGTCAAAACAAAGGTGTTGGTGCGTTTTCCTTAAAGGAAGACTATAAACTTCCTGAGGGCCAAGACTTTTTATTTCAGCCTTTGTATGCCGGGCAAATGGCAGAGTACAGACGGTAAGCAGGGCTTTCAAAGCGTTTGTGAATACCTGAGGCTGAGGTGAACAGAGAAGATTTGTTGGAGGTTAAAGAAGCCCACTAGTTTATTTTGCTCCAAGGCAGGATCAGCTCTTGGAGGGCAGAGATGGTTCCATTTTTCTCTCTGTATCTCCGACACTGAGCACTAGATGGACAACGCCCCTTGGTCAGTCAAATATTTACTAAGCATCTATTGTATGTCAGGCACCGTGCTAAGTGCTGGCAATCGAAATGGGCTCCAGAGGAAAACGGGAATGGGGGAAGACAGTCCCTGCTTCAGGGACCTTCCAATCCAATGGGCCTGATGCCCAGTCAGTGCTTAATGAAGGCTTGTTGATTGACACTGAAACCAGATTCAGACATCTGTGACTCTTCCACTGAGTTCAATGTTTTGATTCTTTCAGGGTATTGGGTATGAATGGAACAAGGGCACCAGTATAGAATTAGACTTTCTCAACTATCTCTTGTCTTTGAAATTGTTCCCGCCACTGACGTCTCCCCTCAGCCCAATCTTTACTGGGACATGAACATGGGGGGCATGAGTTCTCCAAGGCGATGGTCTTCAAGCGCTAAGCTTTGTCCAGAAGATCCTCTAAAACTGGAAATAGAAAAAACTTCCAACAGTCCAAAAGCTCCCTAAGGGACCCAATCTTTCATTTTTTTAATCTTTGTAACCCCAACACTGAGCCCAGTGTCTTACATAGAGTAGTGGGTGTTTAACAAATGTTTGATGAAACCTGGCTCTGCTCCTTATTATCTAGGCAAGTCACTTAGCCTCCTAGGCCTCAGTTTTCTCATCTGGAAAATAGGGGTAAAAATACTAGTGCAATCTCACAGGGTTGTTATGGGAAAGTGCTTTGCAAACCTTAAAGCATCATGTAAGTAGGAGCCAGAGACACTGGGATGAGAGACAAAAATGCACCAGTCTCAGCCCTGAGGGAGCTTACATTGCCTCTGGGGAAGAGATAGATAGAAAACAGAAAGAGAAAGAAAGGCATGAGCATTTCTATAGCGCATACGATGTACCAGGCACCATGCTAAGCATTTTTTACAAATATTTCATTTGATCCTCACAGTAATGCTGTGAGGTAGGTCCTATTATTATCTGCATTTTACAGTTGAGGTAACTGAGGCAACCAGAAGTTAAGTAACTTGCCCAGGCAGCTGGTGGCTCAGTGGATAGAGCCCTGTGCCTGGAGTCAGGAAGACCTGAATTCAAGTCCAGCCTCAGACACTTCCTAGCTGTGTGACCCTGGGCAAGTCACTTAACCTCTGATCGCTGACAAAATGGATTCACTGGAGAAGGAAATGGCAGACCAATCCAGTATGGGGTCACCAAGGGTCAGACACAACTCAACAACCACAATGAGCTTAGCTTCGCCATCTTTCACCTAGCTGCAGGAGGGTGAAATGGGATATCAAGTCCAGGGAATGGCTGGGCTGGGGAGGGAATCTGTGACCAGAAGTGATGTGCAGTGAGGCCAGATCAGAGGCGAGTGTTGGATTGCGGAGGGCCTTTGGTGCCAGGTTATCCCACAAGCAATGGACAGCCACTGTGGAGTCTGCCCACGGCTGAGCCGGCGTGTCAGGTGAAGACTTAAAGGTCGGTCTTCCCATTGATTCCTAACCAGAGAATAACAAAGCATTGACTCAGTCACTAGAAAACATTCGTCTCAAAACAGCACCATGTGCCCTTTTCTTCTGTTCTCTCTCCTTTCTTCCTTTTCATTTGTGACAATTTCCTTTCTTTCTAGGACTCTTGTATCAGGAATACCGTGATAAGTCCACACTTCATGAGATCGAGACTAGGAGGCTGCAGGATGCTGAGGTCCAAGTGGACGTGGACGAGTCGCCCACCAGCGAGGAGACCCTGCCGGAGGAGGAGCCTGCCAGCTCCACCGAGAAGAGGGCTCTGCCCCAGATCTGCCTGCTCAACAACGCCAACTCCAGGTTTAACCTTTGGCAGGACCTCCCGGAGATCAGGAGCAGTGGTGTCCTTGACATCCTCCAGCCCGACGAGATCAGACTGCAGGAGGTAAGTGGTGGGCAGAGCGACAGCATCCCCAGAACTCCTCAGCCTGCAGAGGCAGAGGCTGGATGAGCAGAAAGGGACCTTGGAGACAAAAGTGCAGCCCCAATGTTATGGGGGGGGGGAATGAGGACCAGAAAGAGGAGCTGCCCAAGGTCACCCAGATACTAACAGGCAGAACCAGAATTTGAATCCAGGTTGGAAGATGACCAGAGGTCATCTAGCTCAGCCTCCTTGTTCGATTTTTTATTTATTTTGGGGGGAAGCAATCGGGGTAAAATGACTTGCCCAGGGTCACATAGCTAATACGTATCTGAGGCCGAATTTGAACTCAGGTCCTCCACGCTTCAGGGCCAGTGCTTTTATCCACTGTGTCACTCAGCTAATTGAAGCCCAGAGTGGGCAAGGGAAAGTAAACAGCATTTGAACCTGGATCCTTAGGCCAGTGTCCTTTCCACTGCACCACCCTTTTGTGCCAAAACTTTACCTAATTGAATAAAAGATAAATTTCTGATTCTGGCATTCACAACGCTCTACTTCAACTTCTGATCCTGGCATTCAAGGCCCCTGCACTTTGTCGCCAACATTTGTCTCACACTCCTCCCCTTCACCTGTTCTACTTTCTGGCTGACTGTGTGACTCCTGTGCTCTACCACTGTTCTTTCTGGCCCCCTGGAAGGGGATTTCCCCATCTCAGTCTGTCTGAGTCTCTCCCTTTGGGTCATTTTAGCAAACTCATATAAAATAAACCTACATGTGCCTGGCTCTGTGCTAGGCACTGGGGATACCAAGACAAAGTCCATGCCCTCACGGAGATTACATTCTCTAGGGGCAGAGAGTGTGTACATAAATCAACCAACAAGCATTTATTAAGCACTTACTACATGCCCAAGTACTGTGTTAAGTGCTGGGCATATGGAGGAAAAAAATATTCCTCCCCTCAGAGGTCTTACATTCTACATGACATAACAAGGGAAACTGAGGCAGGACAGCAGTGACAACTGACTAGGATCTTGGAAAAAGAGCCCAGTCATGGAACCAGCCCTGCATGACCCCTCTGCTGGGCAGCTCCCCCTGTGAAGTGTTCTTTGGTTCCTTCCTGGGTCAAAGTGACCTTCCCCATCATGGATTGTTAGAGCACTGGACCTGGGGAACTGTCCTTTGTACTTAGCATGGCCTCCATTGTATAATGGGTAGATAGATGAGACAGATGGATAGATAGATGGATGGATGGATGGATGGATGGATGGATGGATGGATGGATGGATGGATGGATAATCTCCCTTCTCCCCTTCTCAGTTTCCTACTATTAAATTGTGCCTGGCACATAGTAGGTGCTTAATAAATGCTTGTCTTTTGAGTTCAGGGTGACTGTTGTATCTATTTTTGCGACCCCCTGCCTTTTTTCCCCCATGTCTGGAGTGTATAGATACCTAATAAATGTTTTGTTTTGTTTTGTTTTGTTTTGTTTTTGTTTGGGGGGGGAGGGTGCTGGAAAAAATTAGTGCTATTAACAAATTTATCACTTTATAGGATCACAGAGTCACACATCAAGAGCTGAAAGGGACCTTAGAGTCCATCAGATCCAAACCTTTCATTTCACAGATGAGGAAACTGAGGCACAAAGAGACTTCATAAGATCATAGATTTAGAGCAGGAAGGGACCTTAGAGGTTATCAAGTCTGACCCCATTTTACAGATGAGGAGATTGAGGTCACATAGCTGTCTGCAGTGGGATTTGAACCCAGGTCTTCCTGACTCTATGTCCAGCACTCTGTACACTATAGCACATCTCTCTAGTCCCTGATTCTAAGCATTCAAGTGATTTGCACCTGGTGCCATGGGCAGCTCTCTTTAAAACCTCATCAGCAAGTGAGCCTCCTTGCCTGGGACATTAGATGCCTCCCTAGGTGACTGAGGGCTCCCTTTCCTTCATCAGGGAAGGACTGGCCCTGAAGGTAAGCCGCTTAAGGGAAGGGCTGTTTCCTCTTTGTCCTACGTCCCTAGTGCCTAGCACAGTGCTGAGGGTGTTGAGAACACCAGGAAGAAACTGGGATGCCTAGCAGATGGCCTGTTGTGACCTACTTCTGAAACGTTTCTAAAAAGACATTTATAAATATATCATCTCAACGTCTATATATAATTAGAAACTGTCCTTAGACCATAACAGCACTTCGTTTAAACATGGCTTCCATGAGAATTTGCTGTGTGGGTTTCTTTACAAAAGAAGCATTTTTACTCCTTTTGGGCCATTTATCTGGGACTGACCTGGTGGTGGCTGTGAGCAGGGGCCTCTCTGGGCTCCAGAACTTCAGCATATCCTTGGCATCCAATTTGTAGTAGAACCAGCCTCTGGAACAATCGAGGAAGACTGTGCATGAGGGGCTGGTGTCCCAAGATTGGAGGGCTCCTCACTGGAGAGAGGGCGAGCCCTTGGGTTCGTCCAGGCCAGCCCCTTCCTTCATGACTGCCTTGTCCCGTTGGGATCTCTCTCCATGGCTGGATGGCCTCTTCTTGAACCCCTTCCAGTGGCAGATGCTCTATCTGTCCCGCAGGAATGCTTGAAGTCTTACTCAATTCTTTCCCATGCTCACATGGCTCTGGGTCTCATCAGTGTGGGCATTACCTTCAGTGGTGGAGATCACAAGCTACCTATGCGTGGTATCTTGTGCCACTGTCTTCCACGTCATCTCGTAAATTCTCCAAAGGGAATCTGGGGCCTACCATGAACACTAGTGGAGCCCACAGGCCGCCCAGAAGTCATGCTCCCTGCCTCCATTGACACATAATGAGTCCTTAACAAATGCTTCTTAGCCCCTTATTTCTTAGATGGTGCAGCCTGCATCTCTGGTGCCCTCTGGGTGACCACCGTTTCTATGTCATCTACCCTCTGGCTTTTTCTCTCCACCAGCACAACCTTGGGCTCTGCCCCTGGGTCCCCACAGGGGAGCCATCCCTTTATCTTGCTGACAGCCAGGTCTCCAGGGCCTTCCTAGCCATCACCATGCCATGCTGCTCTGTGGCTAGCACCCCATCCCCGTTTCTAGCTCCCCTTTAGGGGCTGTCTCCCCCATCAGAGTGTCCTCAAGGACAGGGACTCTTTGCTTACTTCGATTTGCATCCCCAGTGTTCAGCACCATGTGCGGTACATAGTAGGTGCTAAATAAATGCTTTAACTCAGAGCCTTCTGTGCTCCGTGGCTCACAGCCATCCAACACCACCAGCAGAATATTGGTACTAAAGGGAATCAGTCTTTGTTGTGGTCCCCCTCACTCCTCGTTTCACTCTGGGGCTGGTTCCTGGACTTGGCCGCGCTGGTCTCGTTACCCTGTACACACGTCTATGCATGTTCATACCGTGCACCCGAGACCTTGGGGCCAGGCTGTCGGTGTGATGGATGAGGTCTGTAGGTCATCCATCTGACTGGGAGGCGTAATCTGTCATTAGAGAAATGGGCAATTGCAAAAGGAGCTGGGATGGTCATGTGGAGGGAAGAATGGCCTTGCCGTGTCAGGATAATGTGAGGAAGGTGCACAGGATGGAAGCCCCCACCATCACAACCACAGGGAATTAGGATTGAGGCTCTGACATCAGAGAGCAACCCACCCCCTTTGGTACTTTTGAGGACCTTAAGGCTCAGACAGATCAAGGAATTTGTCTGAGGTCACACAGGGGGTAGAGTTGGGATTCCAAGGGGAGTCGCATGACTTCAAGGTCCATGCTCCCAGCTCAGCACTCCTTCCTTGAATGGGGGAGGGGAAATGGGCAAGGGTCACCCAAGCCGGGCAAGCAAGAAGGGGTGGCAATCTGCCTCACTGAAGGGAACACCCACACGCTGAGATCATAGGAGTATTATTTACGCACACCTTGGTTCCCTTCTCTAGCATATTCCTGGCCCACCATCTTTGCGGCAACTTCTCATCTTTGGCTCTCGTTTTGCCCCTGGAGAGGCATACAATAAGCCTAATCTTCCTTCCCCTTGCTGGCAGGCCCTGTTGAGCTGGCAATGAGCTGAACCCTGCTAATTCTTTTACACAAGAGCTGTTGCCTAAGCAAACCTCCCCCGGCCTCTACTTTCTCCATTCCCTTTTCCCCAACCTAAACGCACAGCTTTACATCTTGCTTTGTTAGAGTTGGCCTCATCTGACCTTTGGGGATCTTGCTTCTGTGGCCGAGCACGTTAGCTGTCTCTCCCAGCTTCCTGTCTTCTGCAGGTTTGATGAGCGTGCCGCTGACGGCTCCAGCCGAATCACAGACAGAAATGTTGAGTGTGAATGGGTGAAGTTCAGAGGCCACCAGAGACCACCTTCCCTCCTTGCCATTGATCAGTTAGACTGTTTGAGTCCATTCAGCCAATCAGTACAGTTAGAGATCCTTGTAACTCTTGAGCTCTCTCATCTCTGGTCTTGTCCAGTAAGACATTAGTAGAGATTGGTCAAATTTCATACTGGCCTCAATGTATTGTTCTAGGTCTAATTGGGTGATTCTCAAATGTTTTGGTCTCAGGACCCTTTATACTCATAAACATTACTAGGCTCCCCACAGAGCATTTGTTTTTGTGACTTATCTATCAGGATTTACCATTTAGAAATGAAAACATCTAAGCATTATCATGAAAATAGTTTTGACCTCATGGATCCCCTGAAAGGGCCTCAGAGACCCATGAGGTCCCCCAACCACACTTTGAGAATCACTGGTCTATAGTATTCCTGTAACCTATGATTCCAGTAACCTGGTCAAAAACAGAAATGAGGCTGATGTAGCATGACTTTAGTCAATTAGTAAGTATTTACTACGCTCCTGCTGGGAGCCAGGCACTGTACGAAGTATTGGGGATATAAATACAGAGAATCCAGCAGTTCCTGCTCTAAAAGAATTTGTATTCTAATCTGTTCTGGAACTTGGGCCCAAATGGATGCCAAGTTCACTAATCTATAACTTATCTTAGATAGGACCCTTGATCTCGAGCCAGAAGATGTCTTAGAGGCCATCTCATCCAATTGACT